GTTATCCAATAAATCAAGAGTAAAACCCTTCTATTTGTGTTTTTTCCTCTCATATATGCTAACCAACATTATATCGATGTGTTCTAATTGAAGAAACTAATTTAACATCTGCAAAATGCAGGTTTTGGATGAAATTCATCGACAACCAATGTCACTTTCCTTGTCTGTGGTCTCACTTCCGGCTCCGGAATCGCTGGTTGACTCTTTTCCTGAGAAGACTCACAGAAAGCCTGAAAAATTGGAAAGTGGAGACGATAATCAGCAGTATGTTTTCCCCTGCCTTTTTAATGAGTCACGCTCAAAGTGGTTGGAAGATCCCGAAAAAGAGAAAACAGAAGGGACGGGGGGTGGGCTAATCAATTGGGATTCTTTGCATCTTAGAAAGGAAATCTAAGCAGGATGATGCAGCACCTCTTGGCAAGAAAACTATATAAAACAGAGAGAATTTTTGGAGGAGACTAAAGGGAGAGAGAAAAAGTCACATTCTCTTGCACAATTCGATTATTCATGAGTGCCCACCTCATGGAGAGCTTTGGTTATGAATAATGGAAAAATGATAATGTCCCTATTTTGTGCAAATGTTATCTTTTGTGCTATGACTCGTTTACCGGTGATATGTCATTTACTTATTTGTTGCATGGTATTCCAGTATGTGCATTTTTAATGTTAATATCGTCTATATCTGCAGGTCCGTTTGCCATGGCTTTTAGTTTTACCTTATGATGAAACTATGTCTTGCAGGTGTTACATTTGCCTCGCTGACTACGAGGAAGGAGACAAAATTCGAGTTCTCCCATGTCACCATGAGTATCACATGTTATGTGTAGATAAATGGCTGAAGGAGATTCACGGGTATGTGACATTGCTGCACTTATTTGCTGCACTTATTCCCCCATCCCCATCCCCATCCCCATCCACATCCACATCTCCTTCTATTCTTTTTAAATATCTGTAAATTAAAGTATGTGCTTGTGCTCCAGTGTTTGTCCACTCTGCCGGGGGGATGTTCGCGAAGGCTTCCCAGAAGGATCTGTTTCAAACTCAGAGACCCCTCCTCTTTAGTACATTTTGTATATAGCTATGTATATGAGGTGCTGTATAGGCCATGAGTTCGTATTTCTCTCGGAATGTCACTTTCATCCATAACCTTTGAATGGAACTACTGGTTTTTTAAATAACGAAATCTTCACTTTAGTTGTAAAATCAGTAATTATATAGTTTGCCCAAAAAGAAGAGAAAAACTTCTGACAATTTATTTATTTTTGAACAGTTATTTTATTTTATTTTATTATTATTATTTTTTTCAATACACAGAAGCATTGAAAATGGTAACCCAGTCCCGAAAATTATATTTTAGCCATCTTTTGACTACACACTTTTATAAATAGTTTTTAGCAAATTTCGCAGACGTATAGTTTTATAATTTTATCTCCACACTAATTGGTCAATTTGTTGACCAATGTAATGGCGGTCAAAATTAGGACAGCACAAAAAAATAGCGAAACCATAAATCGAACCGAAATTGTTGAGTTGAAACTGTTGGTTCGAGTTCACGAGGAACCGTGGTTTCTTTTTCCTCACAAACATGCGGGCCCCGCGTGTATTTAATAATGTCGAGCCGTGGTCCCCACCTTGATGATGTGAGTGGGGTGTAAATGATTATATACGTGTAGTACGGTCCTTGTTCTATGAACATCTTTTAACAACCAACTTTGAAAATAATTTATTTATGTGTTTTATGGTAAATATGAATGTAATTTAACATTATTAGTTATCATTTAAACTTATATTTAACTTATGTTAAATACATTACTATAATATAAAAAAATAAACCACAGATTAAAATCGAATCAGACTGCAAATTATGGTTTGGTTCGAAAAAATTTCTAACCGCACACAATGTTTGAGTAGAAAATATAGTACAAACTGAACCGCGTTTACCCCTAGTCAAAATTATTTAAACAAGCAATAATTATGTTTAAAATAAAGCATAACTCAATTCATTTGGAGAAGATATATTAGGTGTAATATCGAACATTTATAATTGAAACTCGACCTTTTCCAATTGAAACTCGACCTTTTCCCCCCTTTTTATTGATTGAGTGTTGGCAAAAGTATATAAATAAAATTATAAAAAATTAAACAAATATGATTCATATAAGAAAATAACTCATGATATTTATAATGTGAATCAAAATAACTTCAAAATTATTGCCACATATTTCTTATCTAAGAGGTCACGTTCGATGTCACTTATGCTTCAATTATTTTATGCATCATCACTGAAATTTTAACCTATTTTGGACCCATTACAGACAATATTATTAGGTGACCATAACATATAGATAATGATATTTAACAACAATACATGGTAAAATCCGAAAAACTGATATTTTTCTCCTAATAAAAGTTTCTTGTTCGGAAGCTCATGCATTGAAATGGACAAATTATAACCTTACGCTTTTTATAATTTTTTTTTAATTTTCTTGTTGGTAAAGATTTTTTTTATTTAATCGATTGATCTTAAAAGCCAGATATTAAACTACATCCCTTGTGGACATCGTTACTTGCCTTGACAAGGGTAAACATTTTTTGAATCAATAAATAATGGTACGAAATTTTTTAATCATACGACAATGTTTCGAAAATCAAAAGGAACATTTACTTGAAAAGGGTAACGAGTTAAATCTATCAATTCATAAATTCTTTTAGATTTACGATTTTTTTTTACTTCTTGTTAGACTAAATTTAGACTAATCTACTCGAATTAGTGGATCGATTCTAATTCTGATAACGAAGAGAAGAGAATATAATGAAGAATAATGATAATGTCATGATGTGTCCATTTCATGTGGTCATTCCTTTGCAAAGTTGTTACATCGCACAATCGAATCATGTGCCCACTTATTTTCCCTCTTGGATGGTTAAATTAAATTTTGACAGCATAAGTTATTATTAACAAAATGCAATATCAAGAATAATTCATGCATTGATTGACCATTGTCTTTATTAATGTTGGTAAAATAAGTATCAACCATGCGACATGTACACTCTACTTCACACTTTGATTGACATTCTTTTACGTGGATCCATTAAAATCATTGATTTTGAACCCATTTATCACACCATTACACATATTTCTTCCATATAGGAAGGATGTCAACAAAGGTATAAATCATAATGTACATCAAGCATAATTCAATAAGTTTTGTTTGTAAAGTTGGTTTAAATTTCATATAATTAATTCTGACTTGTATATTTCTCAAATGTTCTTGAGTTTAAGGGTCTATCAGGTACAACATCTTGAATTGTTTAGTATCACAACACGTTTAAACAATATATCAATATTTTAAAATATAAACTTAAAAGCAACTTTTAAAAAACAAGCTTAAAAAAGAATAAAGTTACTTTTAAATCACCCTTTTTTTTTATTTTTAAACATATTTGGATAGCTTACTTTAAAGGAAAAACATATATTTTTTAAAGTAAAATTAATTTAAGTAACTTTTATAAATAAACATATTTAGATAACTTGTTTTTCTTTCTTACAAGTAGAAATAATTACTTTTTATGAAAGTAAGCTTAATAGTTTGGCTGGAAACAGTACATTGGCTACAATTGAAAATGTCTTATCAATGAAATTTTCATTTATCCGCGATCTAGGCTTTTGGCATAGCGGGCCCACAATGGAAGGCTCGCACGACGGGCTATTAGTTCAGTGGTAGAGCGCACCCTTCATAATTGCATCATTGTGCACTCAGGTTAGAGCATAAGTTAGTGGTGCTTTCAGCTATTGAACTTTCGTCATTTAGGGTACAACTTTTGTTCTTTTAAGTTAAGTAAAAAAATGAATTTGAATCGGCGCGAACCCTGTGAATCACTACAATGGACAATGGACAATTTACTTTTTATTTTTATTTTAAGTAAAACAAAATAATTTTTTTAAAGTAAGCTTAAATTATTTTGTTTTAAAGTAAGCTTAAACATAAATTTATCTTTTAAGTAATTTCACTTCTAAGTAAAAAGGTTACATTTAAAAAAAAAAAAAAAAAATTGTCCAGATAAGAACTTACTTTTCTTCCATTTGATTAACAAAAAAATATTTATCTTACAAATGTTCTTATTTACAACCCATTATTTTCCCTCATTACATCCATTATGATAAATGAATCTCTGTCTAAATTCATCTCATTCGCAGAAATATTTTAATCTGATGTGACAAATGGAAGTTAAAACTTTCAAGTTAATTTAAGGTAAATAACGTCCCTAACCTTTTAATTTGGGCTTTTGAGTTCTCAACTACAGAAAAATAGGCGACATTCACCCAAATGGATTAATTCTATCTATTTTTACATTAATAAACCCATTTGAAATGTAGAGTGGAGCTTACCCAAAGAACCAGAATCTGTTGTGAACATAATTTCTGTCAATAGAACTTATTCAAAAATTGTTGATTAAACATTAATTATTTTTTTAAGATAAAAATATCACAAACCATTCAAAAATAATATTTAAATTCATGCAAGTTAATGTACTATTCATTGATACATTAGAAAATTTGCAATCCAACCACGCCCAGCATCTATCTGAAAAGTTCAAATATATTTGAAAATTTATAATTTTCATAGAGAAGTTCGATATTAAAGTTTCTTTAAAACAACTTTAAAAAGTTTATTTTTCTTGTCATTAAGCACCTCAACTTTAACCAATCATCTATAATGATACCGGAAAGCATTTTTTCCTCAAAGAAGCACTTTTGAGCTTTATAAAGCCATCTAAATGCACGCTAAAGTGATTCGCTAGAGCTATATCCACTTGACATTATAGTTTTCATCTTTTTAATAAAGGAGATGATTACAACTAGTCTGTGAACCCACAACGAACCCACACTTCTCTTATATCTTTCTCAAGAAAAATAGTTCACCATTATATCTTTATTATAAAAATGAAATATAAAATGACTGAATATAACTACGAATTATCCATATTACCCGACAATATTAAAACTCCGCCTCAAAAACCCTCCCACGCCTAAACTTCAAACTAGGGGAGCTACCAAGTACCAACCACATCGACCTTACAACAAAGGTTCATTCGTAATTGAAAAAAAAAATTGTAAATAGAAGGAAAAGTAAACAACGAAATGAAACTACACTTATCCAACATCGAATTCCGTAGCTTTATTATCGAAATCCATGACATCATTTTTATTTTATTTTTATCAATTTTGAATTTCCATTCTACAACAAGGACAATGTGCATTACTCTCTAGCCATGGCACCAAACACTTTGAATGGAATTTATGGGCACATGGCAACTGCATTAGGGTGTCTACGGCCACAAAATGCTCCAAACAAACTGCACACTCCTCTTGTTCTGTACATTTCCAGCTTATTTTTGCCCAATTAAACTTTTTCTTTAATCCAAATACTTCTTTCCCTTCAATTGCAGGGCTGCCTTCCAGATTTCTTGGCCTTTGTAGCTCACTCGAAACCCTACATTTGATTAAGAAATATGAAGAATAATAATTACTTTGATGAAAATTTGAACATTTTTTGCCTACTGGACTAGAGTGGACTTGAAAGTAGAAAACCGTAAATATTTGTACATTGAGTTGGATTGAACTATAGAGGATGATCTTTATTCATCATCCTAACATACAAATACAATACAAGAAGGGAACATCTGAACACTTGAATAAAGTTTATCTTTATCTTATCTGTTCACGGCTATTGCGTTTTGAGGGTATTTAGTTAATTCTCGAGAAATCAAAATTGAGATTGTGTGTGTTTGTTAAAGTATGATGAATTTGAATCTTGGAACTTATGATAATCAAATATTACAATATTCCTTTCTAACTTTTTTCGTTTTTCTTTTTCCCTTTTATTGTGGTCGTTTCATCAATTCTAATAAAAAAAAAGAGTCTTTGAGAATTTAAATTACCAAAAATTTAGTTCTCCAAAAATTGCCTAAAATTACTTAATTTTCATGGCAAGAAAAAATCAAGTTACTTTTTTACTCATAAACAAAGTATGTCATCTCAATGTATTACCTTTTGATTTTTGATTTCCACTGTGCTTTCAGCTTCTCATCCAGCCTTTTCTTGGCTTCTCTAGCTACAGCCCCTAGCTTTTCATCACAATATGCCTGGCCTATCGGAATCCTCTGTTATTTTCAACAGATCCAGAAATTTCATAAAAACCCCACATAAATAAAAATATATATACATATAGATACGAAAATTCCTTAAGATTATTTTGATTTTAGTACCATGGAAGAGGATGAACTGTGCAGGTTCTCATGATTGCTTGTATATAAACAAAAAGATGAACGCCTTGTGAAGTTATAACCAGATGGGTTTGGAGAATCAGAATGGAATCTTCTTCTTCTTGCAGATTCAACTCCAGGAAGCATGCCAGCCATTGAGATGATTACTTATTAGGCAAAAATAAGTGATTATGTATAATAAGAATTATTACAGCTTTTGAGCGTCTTCTTCTAGAATTCTGATTTTTCTCGAATTTCTGAAGGGGGAAATTTCTCGGAAACAAATGAGGAAATGGTGTAGATAGGTAAGTAATGAAAAATAATTGAAAGCCAATGGTGGGATCCCACCATTGACATGATTGTAATTGTTGGTAAATAAGCTGAAAATGTGAAAAGAAGGAAGGAGAGGAGAAATTTCATGGTAGACAGACAGGTTGCGTGGCTAAGAAAGAGATACAATTAGGTTGGTCACGTGACTAACCAACACCAAACTTGCCACAAATTTGCCCAATAGTCCTCCATTTAAGTTGTTCAACAGTTAAGTTAGTTAGTTACAGTTGGGTAAATTGCAAATATAATGTCCAACATTTTTCTTATATTTTACTAAACGAAATTAAAAAATATTATACAATTAAAAGAAGAAAAAGAAAAAAACATTGTGTTCATCATCATCCATAGTTTAATTGTTTTCATTGGGTCTTGGCCTAACAATTATTTTATTATTTTTAATTATTTAGCACTTGTGAAGTTTATAAATAGAAGTTGGCCTCATCACCCATTAGCTTGCAAGTTTTTATTTATGCGCAGTGTCTTTTATTTTGCATGGTCTGATACATACTATTTGAACTTTTGAATATCGTGACAATGAAGAGTCGATTACATGATTTATTTCTAAGTACTTGGACCGATTCAACTCAAATGGTACACATTACATTAGCACTCCGTTTTTATTGATTATTACGTTGACACACGTCACTTATTAAATATTAGTGACAGTTGTTTTTTAAAACAATTTCCCCATTTAATGAGCTTTAAATATTTTTTGAAAAAAAAAAAATTAATACTTAACAATTGGAAAGTGGCTCACATTTTAAAATGGAAAAATTACCTTGAAACCTACAATTAGAGATTACATATCATAAATAAGGGTGATAAGTTTAGATTTCATATATTGGGTGGTATTAGAATTAATAAATATTTAATTAAAACATGCATAATTACCGACTAATTAGGTAACTAAATCTAATCAAATAAAATTATAAACTAACCAAATCAGTTTTAAAATTTATCCCACTTACTCTCTCTCTCCTCTTCTTCATCATATGCACGACTCTCTTTCTCTCTCTTCCACATACTCTCTTAGAGAACACTGGCTCACACGATATTTACCCTACTTTCTCTCTCTCCATTTTCATTATACACGATACACACTTTCTCTAGAATATCAGCTCACATGATTATCTTCTTTAACTTGCACGGTGATTTTTCCTTTATAATATTCCCTTATTCCAATATCGCGCAGTCCTCGCATCAAGTAAAAAACACGGCTATTATCACACAAAACTTCACCGTGAAATCAACATTGTTTGTGCTTTTTCCAGAAATTAAAAATATTAAAAATAGTGTTAACTCGTAGTGTAGAGGATAAAAGAAATGAGATAGAGAAGGGAAAGAGGAAAAAAAAAAGGCTTCAGAATGTTCTGCTCGAAAGAGTATTCCCTTATTCCAATATCGCGCAGTCCTCGCATCAAGTAAAAAACACGGCTATTATCACACAAAACTTCACCGTGAAATCAACATTGTTTGTGCTTTTTCCAAAAATTAAAAATATTAAAAATAGTGTTAACTCGTAGTGTAGAGGATAAAAGAAATGAGATAGAGAAGGGAAAGAGGAAAAAAAAGGCTTCAGAATGTTCTGCTCGAAAGATGTTGAAGATGTCGGGTTCTGGAGGAAAATCTTCAAAAAAGGTGAATCGGTGTTTACATTTTCAGTTTTGTTGTGCATTTGTTTTCCAGTAAGCGTTGCATTATATGGGTCGATTGATTATGACTCCAATCTGTGTTATGACCTAATTTTTAAACTTTATGACCTGTGTTCGGAGTTATTTTGAAGTGATTTAAATAGTTTGTGACTTGTTTTTTCGTGACCTGAACACATTTTGTATGTATGTGATAATAAATTTTTGTGACCTATGTGTTTGTGACCTAGTTTTGGATAATATGTGATATGTATACAATGATGTGGTGTCTGGAGTAAGGGTGTTGACGATGTGCTCTGACTTCTACAAAATACTGTGTATTTATTACTTGATTTTAATAGTTTGTGATTAGTGTTTCTCTTCCTGATCTGAACACATTTTGTATTTACAAAATGTGTTTAGAATGTATGTTTAATAAAGTAAATTATTTGTGACCTGTATGATGTATTCGTGACCTGGATTTGGATAATATGTGACATATATACAATGATGTGGTGTTTGGAGTGAGGGTACTTGTAATGCTTTCTGACTTCTATAAAATGTCATGTGTATTTGGAAGTCATAGTAATTTGTGTTTTATGATTTGTGTAGGAGTGGAAGTATTTAATAAAACCAAGCAAATGGTTCCCTGGAAAAATAACGGTTGTATCTATTAAGCATGTTATCACAAATTTTGTGAAGAAATTCAGGCATGCACCGAAGTAGATACTTGAAAATACATGTTTCTCCCACTTTGTGCACTACATGAAGATTGTCATCCAGTTGCAGCTCATTCATCAGGTCTTGTTACAGGAGGTTAAACAACCAAACAAAAAAGAAATATGGTTTAATATGAATGGAAGATTCATTCGTTTTTTTGTAGCTGAATTTTGTATTGTGACTAGACTCCGATATTTTGGTGCTGATGATCGACCAATGTTAGAGGAAAAATCTTTAGCAATTAAGGAGAAGTATTTTAGTGACTTAAAGACGATAACCAGGCATGATGTGAGAAGAGTATTTCTGTCACTGGATGAGGATGCTCCCGAGTATGATGTGGCTAGACTAGGTATCATTTTCCTCATCACCAATTATTTGTTTGCGACTTCATATGCTAAGGTGGTGGATCATTATATCTTTTCACTTGCTGATGATTTCAACACCTTGGAGCTGTTCCCTTGGGGAAAATATCTTTTTGAACTTACATTATCGTCGTTGAAGAAAGGTTTGGAGAAAGAAACTAGTCACTACAGATTGTTTGGTTTTTTAATTGCTTTCCAAGTGTGGTTGTACGAATGTTTACCTAGTATTGAGGGGAATGTGACTGCACGTGTGGGTAAAAAATACCCCCGCATAATGAATTGGAGTGCTCACAAACACTCTTCTGTGGCATTATTGGATGAGAATATGTTTTCAAGTGAGAATGTAAGTTTTTAAATTCATTATGATTTGTCTTGTAATCAAATTTAAGATACGACACATGTCTAACATTTTTAAAACTTGTATGTACCAAGGTTGAAGCGCCAGGATCAGACAAGAGATTGGGAACTAGTGACCGGAGTCATTTCCCTCGCCTTGAATCCTCTTCTAAAGACAAGAAACCTGGCAACAACTTTCCGAAAAGTTGATAATAAACACAAAAAAGAGATAAATGATATAGACCCGATTGATGTTGAGCTTACAGCACCTTACATGAGAGGTTTGAAATTTGAAATTTAGATATTCTGTGACGTGAAATAAAATATATTTGTGACATGTCGTTCGTTAGTGTTAAATGTTGTTATAATGTGAACTGAACCTTGTGAATTTTTGTTATGTGAATAAAATATTATAATGTTAATATAATGTTACATGACATGTAGTTTTTAATGTTACTAAAACATGTGACACACTATTATGTGACCTAAGTACTATAATGTGAACTGTACTGATCACTTTCTGTTAGATATCATGTGATCTAATTTATACTTTTGTCTAAACTGATTCATACCACTTGTATGTGTTGGATGACATATTTTCAATATTCAAAGCCCAAGCAGCCTCATGAGAAAGTTAAGAACTCTGGAAATGAGGTGGGCAAAAGGCATTCCACTCCCCCTACTGACACCAAGGTTATTTCATTAGCAATAATTTCGTATGTTGGTGTATCGCATACAAAGATACACAATGAAGATGTACAATAGGCAAAGGTGAATGTGGAGCCGACAGATGATGATTTTGTGGATCCACCACTGAAATGACAGAATGAAGCTGCCAGCTCGAGGTCTAGAGCTCAAACTCGACCTATGCATCATTCTGACTGTTCATGTGTTCAAGTAAGTTATTTCTTTGTTAATAAATTGAATAAGCATATTGATACAAGCCATCTAACTATAAAATCCATCAGGTTTGCGACCGATTGAACAAGAAAGTGGATGTAGAGATAAATAGGCTTCGTGTTGAGAATAAAGGATTGAGAGATGAGATTTAGTCCATGGAGTTACATCTCACTAAAATTGATGACACTGCGTGTAATTCAAACACCTCTTCAAAGTTGAGTGAGATTATTCATAATCAACAGGTACTGAAAGATGAGATGACCAACATCAGATTGACTCTGGAAACTTTTGTTGGTTCAGTATCTGATATTTTATCTTTATTTATGGATGATGTTCATACAAAATTGACTGGAAAATGACCTTCTGGGGTAAGCAAATAAATACCAATGAATATTTATCACTCAAGTAACTTTCATACCATTTATACTAAATCAATTTTGTATTCTCGAGATATGAACAAAAGGCTGATGACATGGCTGATACGAAAGTTAAGGGTCAAATGGAACCTGATCATGGTCACAGCATCCCCACTGAATACGATTTTGCAGGTTCTTCCTTTGATCTTGGCATTGGTGGCACACAGAGTCAAAGTCAGACAAATGTTGATGACTCATTTTTTGCAACGAAAGAAGTGCAAGACCAAGTGGATGAAGTCATTGCATGCGTGTTATAGTCGACTAAAGTTGATAAGGAAGAGGTGAGATGTACATAAACACTGTCAAATTATAATTAATTTGTTACAGTCAAATTAATAATTTATGCTAATTTATGATCTTTTTTATTTTAGGCTCAGGAAGGTATACCTGCTCCGATTTCTTCTGGGCAACCTGTTAAGATGGCACACAAGTCATCCAAAACTCTGTAGTCTCCGTTTGTTAATGTTCATGCACGCCATACTGTGACTGGACCAAAATCCGATTTTGGGAACATTGTTCTCAAAAACTATTTAAACGAAGTAGATAGTACCGACACAATTTCTTTTCAAAATTGGTTTAATAGGGGATACAAGCCCCGAAACAGGTACATTCAATGTATATTATATTTGTTTATGTGACTTAAGATTGTTACTGTGACCTGCTATTAAAATTTGTGACTGTGACAGTGCTGGTCACAGATTAACAGTTCTGGTTACAAAATAATATTACTCTGGTCATAGATTAACTGTTTTGGTCACATATTAATAGTTTTGAACTTTGATCACAGATTAATTGTGTATATGTGTACATAGGGCCAAATTCAATGACACAGATAAGGTGCTAAGTCCACCATTTGTATGTGGGACAGTACCTGTCCATCAAAAGACTTGGTGGCATGCGTTGATCGATTCTGATTCTTCACTAAATAGCACGATATGATAGTGCAAATATTTTTCACGTATGGAAATATGTCACATTATGCATATTATTTTTTATTCATGATAACACTTGGATGCGTGCTTCCATTACATTCGAGAACTTGCAAAGTTGGGGTGATGTAAAGATGAAAGCAACAACCGCGGACTGCATTTTCGACATGTCAATCAGGAGTATATACCCCAGTTTTGTGAAAGACCCAAGTATTGTCAATAAGAAACAGGATCTTCTCAAAACCATCAATTGTGAAATACTAACATTTAATACACATTGGAGAGAGGTTGAGCATGTACTTCTGCCGATCATGCCTACAAATCGGGCTCATTGGATGCTAGGGCAATTGGTTATTAATAAACGTGTCCTACACATTTTCAATTCCAGTATACAGAGACAACATGGTTTATGAAAGGGTAATTCCTGTTGTGAAAATACTTACACATTGGATGAAATTTGTTGGCTTGTGGGTGGAAACTAGTGATAGTGGAGATAAACACTCCAGAGAGCTGAATGTAAACATTGTACCTGGTTTACCCCAACAACACAATGGGTAAGATTGCATGTGTTGATTTTACAAACAATAACAATTTCAACATTTTTTCGTAGTTACTTATAGCTATTTTATGTAAATATTGTAGGCATGATTGTGGCGTCTTTGTGATCAAGTATGCACAATTTTTGTTACACAATGATATTGCTAAGATACCTATGTCATTTGATACTGGGAAAGCCCAGATAGAACTTGTAGCCTTACTCTTCAAAAATAGACAATTAAGGCATGGTGGAAGAGACAAAACAATGTGTGATGAATGATTGAAATGTTGACAGAAATGATTTTGTGGTAGATGTATATTGGAAAATACACTTTGTTGATGATGGATTTCCTTGTGGATTTTTTGGTATTAATTGTTGATATTTTTCAACTGAATTGTATAGTGGGTGAATATTTGTATTTAGATTTTATATTCATCATAGTACTTTATGTTTGTTGGTAGACAAAATATGTATTTTATGTTTGTGAACAGGCTATGATAATTTAAATCAGGTCACAACTGGTCACATCCAGGCAAATGTTATTCATGTTAAAATACATAGGTCACAAACGATGATAATTAGTCACAAACTATACTAACTCGTAAATTACCTTAAAGGTTTTAATATTTTACATGAGCCACCGTTAACAGCAAAACACATTCATCATAGTACATCATGTTTGCTTGTAGACAAAATATGTATTTTATGTTTGTAAACGGGCTATGACAATTAAAATCAGGTCACAAAAAGTCATATTCAGACAGGAGTTATTCATATCAAAATACACAGGTCACAAATGATGACAATTAGTCACAAACTATATTAACCTATAAATTACCTTGAAGGTTTTAATATCTAAGCCACGGTTAACAGCAAAATAAAAGTTAAGTATAAATGTTCAAAAACTATAATCCTTGTAATTTAAGTTTTTTAAGTTTGTTATCCAATTAAAATGGCGAGGCATTATGAGGATAATTTGTTCAACAATAAAACAGTTAACAGTAAGTGTTTAAACATAACATAACAAACCAGCAGGTTGAGTCACATTTAATATACAGAAAAGTCACAGATGGTCACAGACATCATAAACAATGTAATAGTATATAACTAAATTCATAGCCTAATAGAACCTATCAAAAACCTGAAATCCTAAACTAAATATATTCATATATGATAAAGCAAGTGAAAGAATTCACTATTTTTATAACATCAGTGTAAATTGTTATAATAAATGTTCAAAAACTATAATCCAAAAATACATAGGTAATGAATCAACAATGAAAGAATTTCAAACCACAAAGAATATTTTCATGTTCAACAAATTATTATATGCTATTTGAAATGGTTTGGTTGCTTCTTTGTCTTCAGTTTTTGCGGTTTATGGTTAAGTGGTAACGAGTCATTGCATGTTCTATGATTGTGGCTAGATTCTCCGCATCTTCTACATTTCACAACTTGTGATCTCTCACGTGCTGATTTTTTCCTCGTCTCAGTAGGTCGGCCAGAACTTCTTTTCTGATTTAGGGCAAGTACAATTATACTCTTCACATCATTCGACAAACTCCACTCTGCTCTATTGCCTACAGGCATAGCTATCTCTTTGAAGGTATTCACATATGCATCAGTCGTGTAATAATGTGAGCAGAAATCATACACATCAAACGTCAATGTTGCAAACACTGCTAGTGCATGTGGACATGGTAGTTGATCCACTTGAAACATTCTACAACTGCATGTGCATTCAGTTATATCAATCATGTACGATGAAGAATCATCTCGCACTTCAAACAAAGTGTGACTTGCAGGGGAAACCTAAAATTAAATAAATCAGTAATAATTGTGAATTTAAGTGAGATACAATTATAAATGTGACCATCATAATGTATATATTGAACACTATCTTTACCTTTAGATTTTGCAAATCATGGCTCATTTCTCTTATCATCTTTTTGTACTTGATTGCAAGCTTTGTGAAAGTACCATGTGCATTGTCCCAATTCTTGTAAAATCAATATTGGACCCTTTGTCGTAATGACTCAAGAAGTGCTTCAATAGGGTAATTTTTTGCTGCCTTTGTGACCGCATTTACAAATTCAACAATATTCAATGTTATAGTAGAGTATCGATTTGTTGGCATGTGTAATCTGGACCATCTTTCATATCCTGCTTCCAACTGCAAAATAAATTCAGTTTTATCCATATTATAGTAATGATAAATGAAATATAGTTCATACATTAAGCAGGCATGGTTACATATGGTCACGGATAGTCACAGACACTAAATAATATTACAGAACAAGTCACAAACAGTCACATACTAGATAATCTTTGATCTCTTCATTGATTGAGTCTGATTGCTACATTTGGTATTCAAATTCATCTACTGTATACGCTCTTACAGCAGCATTGAATGCATGTGTGACATTGTGACCTAATTTTGCATAATGGGTCTTCGAATTTTTAAGCAAATGGTATGAACAGATCCCATGCATTGTCTCAAAATCAATGGCATTTCTTATGCTATTCTGTCTATCCGACTCGTCCCTCGATCCATATGCTCTCTTCAACATCTCAAAAAATTATCTCTATGAATTATCATTTTCGTTGTCTCCAATCCCAAAAGTTAGTATGAAAATATTGTTGTTTGCATTTTGTGTACAAGCTGTGAAGAGTGTACCTTCATAGTGACCATTTAAATATGTGGCATCAACTATAATGACTGGCCTACAATATTTCCAACCGACGATTAATGGACCCAAAGCCATAAAATAATATTTATATCTATCTAAATGATCTGTTTCTATTCTTGTGACTGTCCCTATGTTTATTTGTTCTAACATAAAGAAATAAGAAGATAGCGATTGAAATGATGTCGTCGGATCACCTATAATCAATTTTAATGTCTTTTCACGTGACCTCCACGCCTTCATGTAGTTCACCGATACTCCATATTTATTTAACATGTCATTATGGGTGTAGATTGTACGTGAATAAGTGTATTTATACTTGATGCAGTTGGACACAATTGAGCTAGATGCTTGTCGATAAGATCTTAAGACAATGTTCATAGAGCATGTGTGACCATTACACATTTTCTTGATTTTAAACATTTTTGTTTTTCTCAAGCGTGACGATCTAAATATCCACTTGCAATCGTTATGTGAACACTTTATTACATACTCCTTCTTGTCCGATCTCAACACCTTATATTCAAACTTATTTTGTATGACATAGAAGACCAAGCTCATTTTTAGTATTTCCTTGTTGCAGAAAATTTTTCCCTCAACTACTTCTCTAGCATCTGCTTGAGATACTAATATCACGTCTTCTTCAATCTTTCCTTTCTCAATCATCATAATCGAGTCACAAGTATCCTGAGCTATTTGTTGTAAAGAAAATACATTAGCCGATGACTCAATGGAAGTAGTTGATGAGTCTGGGCATTGCAATCCACATGTTGACTGATATGAATCTACAGCGATAACATCAACCATAATAGGATAGTTTGATACAGTTCCATCCAAAGATTTTAGCCTTGAATATGTTAAGACATTGTTGTTGCTTAGAATCCGGACTGGAGGTGAAGTAGAATTCAAAAAATATGTCAATCTCACAGCTACTTCTGATTGAATAAGCCCCAACTATGAAACAACAAATTCAACCAATTTATCATACTTGCATATATCATTCATTAGTATAAGATATAACAGGCATACGTAAATAATTGCCATCCCTGATCGCAGACAAATAAAAGCATGTCACACTTTATTCATTAAACTCAGGAAACATTCAGATGCAATGACATTGGTCAATACAGGTCACAAATCAAGAAGTAAAGATACATCAATACAGGTCACAAAAGTCTATATTTAATATCAATATATTCACATACAATGAACAAATATAAGGTCACAGAGAGTCAACTTATAATGCGATGACATTGATCATAGATCAAACTGTTTCCACATATGGACTGTCAATACATTTAACATATATGTCACAATCTATTCAATTTCATATTCACAACTAATCACAGGCAATAGAAACATGTATCAATATGAATTAATTACATAAACGATTACAGATAGTCACAGATCAACATGTTTATAATTGTATAAACAGTTATACACGTATTTTTTGTCGAGCTTCAACATGTATCAAAAAAGAATAAATTGAACGATAGCTTGAAATGTAAGAAAAAACCTTAAAATTATAGTCAATACCCCCTTCTGTCGAGCTTCAACTTCTCCAAAACGAAAGTCAGAACTATGTCGACAAAATTGTGACTTGGTTGGATGATTGTAGCTTGAAATCGATGATTAATATATTTTTCGTGATTTTGGAAAGTTTTGACAATCACAGAACGTCATTTTTTGTTCTGAGAAAATCCAATTCCTCCATATCCGAGCTTCAACTTCTCCAGAACAATAAAAATCAGAAGTATTTCAACGAGATTGTGACTTTATTGATTGATTTTAACTCGAAATTGAGGAATGGCGATGAAGTTTTTGTAGTTTTGGAGAATTTTTCAGGGAGCTCGTTGTTTAAAGAAAGAAAATCGGGTTTGATTTTGTGAGGAAGGTGAGAAATATATTTAAATATGGTATATTTACTTATTTGGCTCCAAAAATAGTGTATATTATATTATAACATAATATATTTTTTATTTACCCCTTGATTTATGAAAGATTTTAGGTAGTTTGTCAATTGTGAAATGTGATTTTATAATATAGTGATTATGCGGTCTTCCTTTTCAAAATAACATTGAGGCTTTTTAAATTATGGGCCAGGCCCAAATCATGTTTTAAGACAATGGATCATGGGCACCTGTAGTTGGGTCGGGATTTAAAATAAAGTTACACAAATAGCCTAAACAAATAAACTATTTCCCAAGAGATTACAACTTCTCCAATATTCATTTTGTAATTTTTCCATCCTCAACCTTTGAATAATTATCAGGTTTCATCCTAAAGGACGATTTAAGCTTCTCTCTCACCCTTCATTCTTCTCCGCCGGTGTGTGTTTCAATTTTCTTTCACGAGTTTTCATTTTGAAAAGAAAGAAAATTGATTTATTGAGAAAGTGATTATTGTGCTAAATTGAATTTCAACTTTGATAACTTGTTATTACTAGTCTAATCTTTTCTTTATTTTTTGATTCAAGTAATTAATGTAAGAGAAACATTAAATTGCCCTTAGGAGTTAGGACGAACCCCACTAATAATTCGAAGGTTGAGGATAGAAATTTTACAAAATTATCAAGGACAGAACAAGATCATTTCTTAATTTACCCATATTCCAACTGTACAAATGGATGGTGACCCTCCGTTCTCTCTACGAGACAAAATTTTCCATGAAGTTCTCATGCTACGAACACATTCATAACAATAATAGCAATGACGCAAGTATGGAGACAAGGATAAACTTACCGACTTGAAAGTTTCTGCCTTTTCACCTCTCTCTTTCTCTCTGAATTCTTTCTCTTTATGTCGTGAAGGTCATCGTTGAAATCTGGTACATTCTTTCTTTCTTTCGTTTGTTAATTTATTTTATTTATAGCCCGATTGATTCATCTTAGATTTCTGTTTAATATCTTAATGATATACGTACGATTCCTTGCATTCTCTATTGTTTCAGCTGAATGTGGGAAAATTTAGGCTCAGGAGATTTAATATAGAGATCCCGTCTTTGTTTTTCTCATGATTTTGGAAGAAAAAAAAGGAGAAAAATTATATACGTTGAATTATGGCTTTTGATCAGAACTCAATGCTCAAAGAATTGCGCCCGTTAAATATGCCTAGAACAGTGCCCGAAGATCCGCGCATTGTACCAGGTACCTCGTCCGGAAGACCTATTGACGGGTTTTGTGATGTCGGCAGTGGCCCGGAGTCTGCGCCCGTGGTCTATTATACGGCTGCGGTTTCTGAAACTGAATTTATACCTGTACGAGCCGTTCCCGGGGTGACCGGATGGGTCTCCCATACTGCGCCACCCCAACTGGGTGGCGCTGGGATTAATTCGACTAGTGGGTATGTTTATAGTCCCCCATTTCGAATGCCCAGTGGGGGCAGTTCTGATCAGGCTAGTGATGAGGGCAGTGAGGAGTCAGTGACGGGGCAGAAAGTTAAGTTTTTGTGTAGCTATGGAGGAAAAATATTGCCGAGGCCAATTGATGGGGCATTGAGATATGTTGGTGGACAGACTAGGGTTATTAGTGTTAGGAGGGACGTGAGTTTTAGTGAATTGGTTCGAAAAGTAGATACATATGGGCAAAATTTAGTCATTAAGTACCAGTTACCGGAGGAGGATCTTGATGCACTCGTTTCAGTTTCATGTCCTGATGATCTTGAGAATATGATGGATGAGTATGAGAAGCTGGTCAAGCGATCTTCGGATGGATCCGGTAAATTGAGGTTGTTTACTTTTTTACCTTCCGAGGTCGAGTCTTCCGGTATAGTGCATGTTGGGGACTTGCAGGTTGGTGGTCAAAGCTACGTCGAGGCTGTGAATGGAATTATTGATGGATTCAGTAGTAGCGGTGGTGTCAATAGTCTCATTGCAAGGAAGGAGAGCACTGATAGTGCTAGTTCGACCCAGAATTCTGATATAGGTGGTACCGAGGGTACCAATAGCTTGGGTCATGGTCACGGGGAGGTTACATTTTCACCATCTACCAGTGGGTTATTGGTTGCCGGAAATTATACTGTCTCTCGTGAAACGTCTCCAAGAACTGCGTTTGTTGATCTTAGTCCTTCGGTACACGTGGATACTTCTGCTGCTCCATCTGTACCTCTTACTGATCTACAGCCACAGGTAGCATACGATATGCAGCAGCTCGGAGTGCTTTTTCCCACATCTTCACCTTATGCACAGACTTACGTGGATCCTTGCAAAGAGGCTTCAAACCATGCTGATCATGCACAACTTCCTTCTCATAGGGGGTTCCCAGCTCAGATTTTTGGGGCAGTTGGGCCTGTGCTCGCCCAACAACATATCCCTGCCGCAGCTTTGCCTGATCAGTTTCTAACTGCGGTACAAGTGACAACTAATCCTTCTTTGGTCAGTATGAAAACAAACTCACGTAGTCCTATAGTTCAGCCCCAACAAGTTCATTTGGAGAATTGTCCTACAGAAAGTGCGCCAGGACTAGTCCAACTTCCTACTCAACAAGGGTATAATTTATTTAATGCTCAGGTCCCAACAGCACTGCCAGGAGAAGTGTACGGGTGGCAACAAGTACCACACTCTGAGAAGGTAGTCTTAGTGGAAGGCAGGTTGTCTTCCCAACCAGTTCTGGTTTCTGGAAAACTTCCTGTACTTAAAGATTGCTATATGTGTCAAAAAGCATTGCCACATGCTCATTCAGATACAGTGGCCCAGAACAGAAAAGAAGGCTCTCCAACCACCTTGTCCGACTCGAGATCAATTTGTAAAAGCCTTCGAATGGATCATCGAGGACTGGTAGTCGGGACTCAACCAAGAGGTATGGGATATGCAGATCATGAAGCTGGGAAATTTCAAGCAGAGGGAATTGGATTCTCTCATAATGTTGATAAGCACTATGGAAATGATAGAATTGCTCTTCAGAAGGCACAGAATTCTGAAAACTCCAGTATATCAGTTCCACAGGGAATGATGGTGACCACTGGCATACAATCTCCATATGGTTTATTTGCGGCTAATATTCCTCAATTGTCCCAAGATAATGCTGTAAAACAAGTAGTCGTTACTCCTCAACACCAGGTTATATACAATGCCACTATGAACAGACAAGTTAACGATGACGTTTCCCCTGTTGGAGGCATGCCTTTACAAGATTACTCTGTTAAAGTTCCTGGATCAATTACTAAAGAAGATTCTACTTCGACAACCCTTAACCATCTAAGACAAATTGATGGGAGGTTGGAAAATCTCTTGAGACACCCTTCTAGAAAGGAAGACGTACTAGAAAAGAGACCCCAACAGGTTGCTAGGAGTGGAATTCCTAACATACCTAATTTACCATCAGCAGAATCCTATGAATCAACAGAACCACCCCTTTTAGGTAATCCCAATTTGTATCCTCATTCAAATCTTGGGATTAATCATTTGGCTCTTCATGAGATTTCTTCTGGCAAGTCTGTGTATTCTGGTGTTGAGTCTGATCCTGCAACTGAAAGAACTCCACCTATTGGTGAATGGGAGGAGGATACTGCCACTTGGTCTCAGCCTAGGATTTCTGGTGATGTAGAAGCTGGAACGCATGGAGGAAACAGGCCATTGGCTGCTTCTCCAGATGTGCCAGATAACTCAAACTATGATGCATCATTTCAGCCCGCCGGCAATTTGAACAAGGATTTGTATTTGGAGCACGTTATCTCCAATAAAGGCGAGGAACCATTTTCTATATGTTTCATTTGCCTGTCTTCACCTTACTGTGTGGTTACACATGAGCATTTTTCTTACTCAAATAGAATCAACAGATGAAATGAGCAAGCAAGAACATCAAGCTGTAGTCGAGGGTGTAGATGCTTCTGTTCTTCATTCATTTGCACCTTCTAACCCTGATCTATTAGTACATGCCGGGACTCAGTTCGCATCTACCCAGGAAAAGAGTGACGTTCAAAGCACTAGCACAGAAGCGCAGCAGAAAGATATCTTTGAGGTTTGTATTTGTCTCTCCTCTTTCTCGTATGAGTATTTTTGCATTAAAACAGTATGGTACTTGTTTAGCAATTTATTTTCCAGGAGATAAATACTAATTTGTCTGAGAAGATCAGTCTTTGGTCTCCTGTATCAGATAGCATTGGTCGATTACAGGTTTGTGATTTGCTCTTTGCAATCCTTTATTAGCCTAGCAATCTCTTCTCGTCTGATGTCTCTTTCTGTCACCTGTTTATCTTATCCAGTTTTCTTTTCTTTTCTTCATTGCAATCAGATAATTAAGGATAGTGACCTGGAAGAGCTACGTGAACTGGGCTCGGGTACCTTTGGTACTGTTTATCATGGAAAGTGGAGAGGCACTGATGTGGCAATTAAACGAATCAGTGATAGATTGTTTTTTGGGAAAACTTCTGAACAAGAACGCATGGTCAGTCCCTACACCTTGTGCAATTGATAATCTTTAAATTCAAATGATAAATTGCTTTTGTACTTTGCTTACATTTTCAATTATACTGCCTTTCATATAAATAATCAGATAGATGATTTCTGGAATGAAGCTATCAAGCTTGCTGACTTGCATCATCCCAATGTGGTTGCTTTTTATGGTGTCGTGTCGGATGGTCCCGATGGTTCAGTTGCGACTGTTACTGAGTACATGGTTAATGGTTCGTTGAGAAATGCTTTGCAGAAGAGTGAGAGGTAATCACACTTCCGTGTCCGGTTTGAACCTTCTAATGTAAACATTTGTTGTTTGTTTGATAAAGTGGACGATAGAGTAGTGGACATCACTAAATCAGAAAAAGAAGCTAAATCTTGTGTATGGTATTGGACAATTCTGTGTACCAAACATGGTCTTGTGGATTAACTTTGTCTATTATATTTCTCCTTTTTGGTGATGGAATTTGAGCTTACCATTTGAACCTTAACATGAAATTTAGGTATAACCTTTTCTAAACACGCAAAAAATGTTATCAGGATTCTTGATAAGCGCAAGAGGGTAATGATTGTGATGGATGTTGCTTTTGGAATGGAGTACTTGCATGGGAGGAATATAGTGCATTTTGACTTAAAAAGTGATAATCTATTAGTTAATCTCCGTGATTCACATCGGCCAATTTGCAAGGTTAGTGACTCCATGCAATTTTATTCAGTTCCATTTGGAGTAATGTACACAGGTGACATGCTTACAGGTTTTCATTCTTATCTCTCCCCCCATGATATTTAATCTATAACTGCACAGCATAGTTATCTTTTTTGCTGATTTGACTAGTTTAACATGCTATTACTAGATACTGGAGATATTTTAGTGTCACTGTTAAGTTGTTGCACTCGGAAGTTTTGTGGTTACAACTTGAAATCTGAAATTCTAATTTTTCTGTATGATACATCAATCATCTTAAAAAATACACATTAGAGGAGCCGTTAGCAAGTTCTACCCTTTGTTAAAAAATAATAAACTTCTAAAACAAAAATGACAATGAAGAAAAAACAGCAAAGCCTAACTGAATCTTGGCAACATGCTTTCTTAATAGTACAAAGAAAGACTATTCTTCTGGTTTTCTTTATCTTTCATCCAAGATGCTCTTTAGATCATGATCCCATAGGTATTAGATCCCTCGTATGTTTTACTGCATTCTCGGCTTTTTGTCCCAGTATCTTTTTCCTATGCTGATTAAGCTGCTGATCCTCCCCTTCACTACACACACACTCAAAAAATTAATAATAACCAAATAATGATAAAGGCAGTACAAATTTCTGTTAACCGAGAGGTCTAATTCTAAGGTATGCCCAAAAAATGGAATAGTAACCTGGACAATGCAGACATGGTTTCATAAAAGATCACAGTGCTTGGTTTTTAATGGGGAAAATTGCAACAGCGGTCCCCAACCTATTGGTCTCTGACATTTATTTCTTGGCATTTAGTTTTCCAACCTTTTAAGTTTGTAACACCTTTGTCCTCACTGGATGGTTTTCATCCTTGTCACCACGAACAAGCATGAAAAAATGTAGTTTCTGATTCTTTATTGCTTTTTGGCTCACAAGCTGGCAGATCCCAAGATGTTCCCGATGATACTTTGTTGCACGAAAGGAGAGAATAAGAGAGACGGTGACACTTTTTTCAAGCATTAGGTTTACCAGCAAAGAGAGGAGGAGGTGGGAGAGAGATTGGCTGCTGAAACTCAACCAATATTGGCACAAGAGGACAACTTTTTGTTAATCGTGCTTTGTTCAATAACATACTAAGTTAGGATTAAGACAACTTAGTGAACGACTAATTAAAATGTGACACTGTTAGTGTTATATTGAACCATTAGATTTAATGTAATGAAAAATGAGCAAGTCAAGCTTTTTAGATTAATTATAAACATTCTTGGGTTTTTTGTATTAAGAATTTTTTAATGGCTTTTTGGTTTCAATGGTTTTCTTAAAGGCATTAAGCAGATAATTTGAATTATCAGGAATTTAAATAATGTAAGAATCGAAGAAGCCACTTTCAGGTTCTTCGGTTTTTGTTTTTCACAGTAAATCCATAATGAGATAATAGGTATTGTCGGTAGTAGAGACGAAGAAATTTTAGGTTCTTGACAAGACCGATGGAACAAACTAGCATTTGATTCCTAAATATATTTCTGTATAAGGTTGTATTTTTGTGCCATCATCTATTGCACTACAATTTCGAAGGGGAATTCTTGTTTTTTCATTTTTTTTTTTCCTTCGGGCAGGAGGGTATATACATGAAAGGATAAAACATGCCTACTTTTCTCATACTGTTTTAAAGGTGTAAAGCTTAGTAAGTAGTGAGTTTCTTGGCATTTCATGATTTCTGTTTTGTGGGTAATAGTTCAGATTTGCTTCTGTGTGGTGTCTTTGTAAGCATTGTTTTACGATTACATTGTGTATGATGGCATTAAATGTTCTCATATATCTTAACCATTTATAGGTTGGTGATTTGGGGCTGTCCAAAGCAAAATGCCATACGCTAATTTCGGGCGGTGTGAGGGGAACACTTCCATGGATGGCACCTGAGCTTCTAAATGGCAGTAGTAGCCTTGTCTCTGAAAAGGTTTAATTTATGACACATTCCAAACGATCACTCGGGCACAGCACTCTCCTTTCAGAGGAAGAAAATAACTATTAGCTGATTCTATAAAGTGATCAATCTAATACGGTTTCCCAAGAATTTCAATGGGAAAAATATTGGTTCTTTCTGAGATGTTTTGATCTGTAGGTTGATGTGTTCTCATTCGGAATGGTGATGTGGGAACTTCTTACTGGAGAGGAACCATATGCAGACTTACACTATGGAGCCATCATCGGTAATGTCCTTTTCAATTCTTCTAGGCCTCATTCAAGAATTGTTCTTGATCCAATCCGTAATCAGTATAGCAAGCAAATCCCGTATGATGCACCAAATCCGGCAGGGTCATTGATAATGTGAATGGATTCAGTCATTTCTTGAGATCTTGTGCTGTATACATCTCTCAATCATTGTTTCTTGCCTTAAATTTTGTGAGGAGATTTTAGGTATCTTGTGCTTACTTTATTATGATAGGTGGTATTGTGAGCAACACGTTGCGTCCTCCAGTGCCAGATTCATGCAGCCCAGATTGGAGATCACTCATGGAGAGGTGTTGGTCATCTGAACCATCTGAAAGGCCGTGTTTCACTGAGATTGCAAATGAATTACGGTCCATGGCGGCTCAGCTCCCACTAAAAGGACAAGTTCTACAGCCACTTCCATGGACAAAATAATCACTTGTATCATAATTCACTTTGTAGTTTCAACTTGGCGAGGTTCTCACTTGCCAACTTCGTTTTTAGTAAACCAGAACGGCATCTCTATATGTTATTTTGAGCTGCTTGCTTGTTACTCTCAGCAAGTATAATGTTTGTATTTTCTTTATCAAGGATGATAAAGTTTTTTGCTCCAATAATATCCTCACTTTTTGAGGTAGCTATGTTGTTGTAATGTAATCATAGCAATAGAGAAGAAACAAACTGCATAAAAGCTGAAATCTAGAGTGCAAAAGATCAAAATGAATCTCATACCATGGATTGATCCATCCCCCACCCCCGGAAAAGCCAATCGTAGTTACCATTTTCATGATGCAATGCAAGCAAGAAATGAGAATTCAACTACATAAATAGTCATTTCATATACAAAACTGAAAGAGAGTTCAGCAGTGGCAATAATACGTGATATGAACAAAACAAAACTCATGCAGTTCGTTAGCTGCCACTAGTAGATTCTCACTGAACCCGTTCGCCATTATAGTTTTCGCATGTTTTCAGCAGTGCAAAGCAACCCCCCTCGTCAGTCTCAGTTCTTCGTGCTCTCCCTGACAACAATTTACTACCATTGCAAACACTAAAGTAACTAAAAGTCCCCATTTTGCTTCTCTCAACAGCCATGCTGGATATAGGAATTGAGCATGGCATATGAACATGAAGGATGAACATGTTTCTTCCATTTAAATTTTCAGTTCACATAAAGCGTTCGTTGGTTGATTTGTCGCCTGCACTACTATTTAAACCCAAAATTAAATTGGTATATGGCTCATAAAAGTATATTTGATTTGGCAGAACAAAGGTTAAAATCTACCTCTTGCGTTTGCTTTTGTGAGAAGTTGATGACGAAGGATTACTGTGCCAATTCCTTTTTCTTTGGTTGATGAACCAATTGTTGATCTGTTTTAGTTGCAATCCAGTTTCCTCCACCAGTTTTGCTTTATCTTCCTCCTGCAAAGCAAAATACAACAGAACTGTTATTCGCAGTACAAATTTTTATCAAACAGAGGTTAAATTTGGTGCTAAGATGTCAAGGATATTCATGATATATGTCAAGGCTGAATCAATTCTTAACTAAAAGAATTTCTTGGTTTATCCATTCCAACCAACTAGACGGGGCTGGTTCTTAGAACATTGGTACTAGTAAATAAAAATACAGCTTCATGCCCCGGTTAGAGTAGAGAGCATCAATATGTCAACAGTGAGTTCAATGGGGTTAAATTTTTTGAGCTCAGAGTAGATGTGGTGTTCGGTAATTATGCTTACTGTAGGATATGGCCACTTGGAATGAGTTTGCCACCATGTTTTTAAGAGAGATGTAGTGTCCCCGGGAAGTTTCCCTGCTCTTCTTTTACGTAAAATTTCCTCTCTAACGTCCACGATCTTGTCCTTGTAACCCTAAAACAAGAAATCTGAATGATTACATGAACCTACAGCTTAAACTGTAAAGTTAGTGGGTTCTTACTTGTTTAAGCTCGTGTTTCAGTTCTTGTCGCACACGCTCCATCAAGGACCTCTCACTTTCAGTGGGCACTAAAGGACCGAATCCCATGTTATCTGATACTTCTAAAGTTTCGTCAAACAAGTTAGTTTCTTCACCGTCATCATCAGACATGGTTGCTCCTGTACCTTCACCAGGTGGTACCCCTGTCAAGCAATATAGAAAAGGATCACCGTAGATCAGTCTAATGAACGTGTTCCAAGTGGAAATCAAATGCAAGAATGATAAATGCAAGTTCCAGTTGGTAAATTGAAGAAAAATAGGAAAGAAATTGCATAGTTTTCATCATTCTACCTCACAATTTGAGCCGATTTTTGTTGAATAAAGAAAAACTACAAAAATTAAGATGATCACCTGTCAAGCTTTGCAGCGATTGCTCGAGCTCCCAACAAGCCATGACTGCTTCCATTGCATGAACACGGACATGTTGTTGCAGTTGCTCTTTAAAGGAAGAGAGCAATAGAACATAATGCGTCTACATCAGAAAGGACAAGAAAATAAAGGAAAAGACGAAGAAGATTAAGATGAAAAACTTAGCAAACAGATTACATCATGAACTCGTTTTTCTGTAAATATAAACAAGAAAGACCACCGATTAATAGGTAATAATGAGGACTATCGTCTAAATCAAAGCTGCATATTTTACATGCATATACAAGTATGCAGAACAAGAATGGATAAGTTCATGAAAACAAATGTCTTGGGATTTTCCAAAATTTAGCCAATCAGGCTAGGTGTACTTGTATACATAGTTTTACACTTTGCCACGTGACAACACATCATTAGACAGTTTAAAAACAACACACAATTTTTTGATTCAATCATTTGCTGACAAGTTCGATAATGTCAACAATGGTGTAACAGAAAGGTGTACAAATGGCATTTCTCAATTTTAGCAAATTTCATGGACTTGCAAGAATCGTGTTGTAAAACTACTGACCTTAACTATGTTCTTGTACAATTGAACAGGACACAATATTCGAAAATGGAAGTAAGTCTAATGAGAGATTCCTATCAGCAGAACTGTCCACAAATTAGCCAAATTTTAAAAAAGAACTCAATTATTTCCTTTGCCAAAGATGAGTGTAGCTTCTTGTCGATAATATGCACCCATTCCTTGACATAAGGAGTTCACAGAGGATCATAACTTGTACAACCGTCAGAACTAAGAGGGTGTTTGATGGGAACTAAAATTAATTTTTTTTCTTTAGCAGATTGGGATAGAAGTTTCGAAATGTGTAGTTGAAAAATTGTGGGACCATGAAAGATTTGGTTAAAATTGATCGTTTCACTTTGACTTGGATTAAATTCAAATTTTAATCCAAACCAAACACGCTCTAAAATTGACGTGAAAGTCTGATGAAGCTAAAGATCAATTTCATAAATAGACAGGGTAAAAAGTCAGAAGTCGAGTAGAATAACATCAAAGGTAGATACTTCAAAGCAATAAAACAGAGACTGATTTACAATTATTACGAGAACAACCCAATTCCTGTTTTGATGATATTCCTACACACACACTACTGAATTGAACTTTGAAACTTTTACTTCAAGAATCAATCCACGCCAAATCTTCAATCACAGGTCGAGAATAAGCATTATGCATTCTGGGTTTGAAGATTTCGCAAAACTGTTGACTTTATTTCTCTATTTAATAATCTACCGGTGTCAAGATTCATCTCTCTCTCTCACACACACACGCTCGCTCGCTCGCATAGGGAGGGACAATAGACTAATCATTTTTTAAATCCTAATCAGTTCTGATTATGGAACAAAAATTAATCCAAGAACCAAGATTGACACTTGAACCAATACAGAGCGATCAAATTTCTCCGTTTATAAAAGAGAAAAAAGCCAAAAAAAAAAAACGGGAAAAAATAAAAATCTTTCAAAAGAATCAGGTTTGTCACAGTATTAACTCAAGAATTAAGACCCAACACGCACATGTTTAAGCTTCTTAATCACAGGTTCACAGATATATATACATGTGTTATACGTGTACAGATACAGTGTAAGATACAAGTGTATTAGGATAAAGTAAATTGCGAACAGTACCATGAACTGGTCGAGGTCTTTATGATCAAGGGGCTGTTGACCTTGTCCGAACAGAGAGTATTTAGCCATCACTTGTTGCGACTGAGCCAGCTGAGCGTCGATCCTCGGCAGCTGGTCCACCGGCGTCGCTATTCTTAGGCAAGCCACGTGTGCCGACAGTAGTTGCTCATACAGAGGATGATTCATAATATCCGCCATGCATTTATCTTTCTCCCAGTTGTTATTATCATTATTATTATCATCTCCTCCGCCGCCGCCGCTGTCTTGATGATGATCACCGCCACTGGCATTCGTTTCGGCTGTGTCGGCGGTGGTTGGTGGGCTGGGTTGACTTTGAGTGGAGAGCCACTGGTGGGGGTGGGATTGGAGGATGGAGCTATTGAGCCAAGTAAAGGGTGGTTTAGTACGGCCGTCCGGTGAGGACTGTTGGTGGTGCTGATAGACGGCGGCAGACTGCTGGTGGTGGTCGGGGAAATGGTGGTGGAGGGGCATTTCTTGAGAGAGGTGGTGGTCCTGAAATGCCATGTCTGGTATGATGAGCCTATACAATAGCCTACCAGTAGATGATATTAAGAGTAGGGAGAGAGACAAAGTAGAGAGAGAAAAAGCAATTATAATTCATTTTCATGTAATGACAATGGACATTTTCTTGCAATGACAATGGACGTAGAGATAGCGAGAGCCTTTAATTAGAACAGATTTTTTTTAAGGTCAAAAAATATTTCATTAAAATAAATTTACTTATTTCTGTAAAATTCTTAGACCTAACTATTGATTGTTCAAATAAAAATATAATTTACTATTTCTTTCTCCATCATCCCTCCTCATTGTGTCGGTTTTAGAATTTTGTTCGACATTTTTCTTGTCATTGGAAGATAGAAAAAGTGAAGGCTAAAATTAGGGTCGATTAGACTAGTACAAAGAAAGTGTTTTGTGGTAAAGTATTTGAAACGATGCCGAATATTTTAGGCTAAAGAAATTGAAATATAAAACATAAGGCGTAAATTATCGACACTATTATTTAAATATTTTGTGTAGGTAAAGAGTCGTGGAAAAGATAATTAAAAAAATTGATAACTCTCTTTATAATAATATGCTAGTTTGATTTTATAGTAATGTTAACAACCAGCCTATGTTGCTTAATTGAGTGATTAACCAACCTCCACTTTTAAATTAAATAGTCGTACTATTAAAGTTGTTTTCTATGTTATTTGTAATGTTATCCTTCATCTATCACTCTAATGATTTTATTTGTCAGGTCATCAAAATCGTTAATTGTTAAATAGAAGGAAACGGAGTCACGGATAGAAAATAATATTGAAATTTGAAACTACGGTGATTATAAAGATATATATATATATATTTTTAATTCATTGACTAATATAATGATGACAAAAAAATTCGCCCTGAATAGTTTGGCAGGGCGCCCCGTCGTGGGGCCATGAAGGAAAAAATTAAAATTAATTTTATTTCTAGACAATTCACCCGTTAAAAACTCATTTTGAATTTGTATTTTATTCTCTAATAATAACATAACTCAAAATTTTGAAAATGTAAAAAAATAAATAAATAAATGAAACTGGACAACAAATGGGACAAAAAGTTGTGGCATCCCCGCCCCGTCTTAGACGGGGGGATTTGGACGAGGCGGGGTGCGTGGGGTGCCTCACCCCAGAACCTGGGCAGGGCGGTGCTTGGCGAGGGTGGTTTGGGCGAGATAGGGCGGGGCCGGTGGGGGTACCCCACCTCGAACCCGTCTCGTTGTCATCTCTAAACTAATAAGAGACCATGTTAAAAGTACAATATTATTGAAATTTTTCATACTCGAACCTAAAAAAAAATATGGCACAATATATGATATAATAGCTTCGTCGTACATTAGCATATTAACTGTATCTTGTTTGATTCGAAAGGGACTAGTTTCCTTGTATGAATTATTAAGAATTAATTAGTAAAATTAAGTCCTTGTTTTGTTTTGCATAAAATTAGATTTTTAGTAAACATTGATATTAATTAAAATTAAGAATTCCATAAAATACGTAATTAAAAATAAATTTAAAAAATGGGATCGCGTTAGTATTAAGTCCATATTTGATAGAAATTAAAATTCAGATTTAATCTACGTCAAAGTTAATAATTAATTTAACTACATATTTTATGAAATTCATACCTTTTCGACCACACTTAATCAAAATCAAAATTTATTAAAAATCTAATTTTAATCCACACTAAACCGGTCTAAATTTGAACATTTGGATAAAGAGGTGGAAGGGACCCAGAAACAAGAACACTGTCAATGTTGAATCCACCATTAGGTACTCATTGTTGGATGTTTTGCAAGATTTTCGGTGGGACTCGTTGGTCCAATTTGGAAGATCCAAGTTGATCCGCGTTCTCATCCGTGAGAGCATCGAAACCATATATTTATTTCCCTAATTTGATAAATGGATAAATGATAAATTTGATATTATTCGAATACTAGTCAATTCGTCGGAGTAGTATCTGTGGTGCTCAAATTCTACGGGTTTTATTGTTGTATCCTAAGAAACAGATGCTCAGATTAGATCTCAAGCACTTACGGTGAGGGAGCGAATTTGTTTTAAAAAAACTATGTTGGCATAGGCCTCGGATTGAAAATTAATCCACTATTTATTTATTTGGGATTGCACCTTTGTAATTTATTCTTGTAGATTTAATTATTTAGCGTTTATCTGTGTGATTCATATAATTTGCCATTTTATTATGTTATCGTGCTATTTATGTTTATCAAAATTAATCTGCGTTAATTTCTATTTATGTTAAAAATAAAAATCTAAAAAAATATATATATATTCTATAATTTTGGTATTTCTATGCGTAAGTGAAAATATGGTATATATGAAAAGAGTAAAGAAAATATATGCAAATACGATTAAAAACATATACGATAGGAAGCATATACGATAGAAAGCAAATACGATAGGCAGCATATACGATAAGTTGCAAGTACGGTAAGTTGCATATACGATAAGTTACCCGCAAATACGGTATGCTCAAAACCGATATTTAAACTACATATACGACATGTGAAAATTCGATTTTATTAACACCACTATATTCCTACATTCATACAACAACTTGAACTTTCCCTCCCTGCCAATTGGTTTAAACTATTCATTCAGCTTTATTTTGGAATCAGCCGACCTACTATTCAAGCTGAGCCGGGGGAATACCATTTATTTTCACAGCAATTAATTTTTGCCAGTAACTTATTCAGGTCCCCGTCTATTTTCCATTAATGTAAAAATGACAATGAAAAAGATAGTCATTATGTACCCCACACAAAAAATAGATATTCAAATATGATGATTTGATGTGATGAATAATGATAATATTTTTCATTTTAATGACCAAATAATAAAAAACAAACAGGGGCTTATGTAATTTTGAATTCTCGAAACGACAACGCCTTGTGAGGGTAGAACTGTAGAAGTGGTCCCGTTAATGGACGGTGTTGGGCCGGTGGCAAAACTTTTCAACTAGTGCGAACCAGTTGAAGTCGACCCATTTTGATTTCTGCGTGGAAAACCAAGAAAAGTTCAAAAACGGAATTAATGGAACTTCCCTTTGTCTTCGTTAGACAGTTCTTTAATAGCCTCATTGTCTTATTTTAGGGTTGATTTATTATTTATCAAATTTCAATATATTTCACTTCACACATCAAAATAGGTGGAATTTTAAAGTGAAAATTTCTCTTGATCCGTTTCTTAAAAGGTTGAACACCAATTTTAAGGGTCCCCCACTGCCCCGTCGTTGGAGCATTGTGAGAGAGGTTAATCGTCAGATGTGCTCCAATAGATTAAGGAACAAAAGTTGTCTGTACATTAGTATCCACAAAGAGTCTTAATCCATGTTTCAGGAATCGAACCCTCACAGTGCGGCTGTCAGTAAGGCTGAGTATACCTCATTCTTGTCCTTTGCACCACTATGATATGCCTGAAGGGGCCTCTTGATCCGTTTCTTGTGTTTATCTAAAGTGTCCTTAACCAGTGATCCTTTTTACTACTTTTTGTTGGATTTTTATTCAAATTAATATAATATAATGTAATAAAAGAAGGGTAAATGTTGTAAATAGAGATCTTGGCGGAATTCAACTACAGCATGAACGGAAGAGTTGCAACTGAAGGAATTGTTAGGGTAATTGGAAAGGTAATATAATCAGCAAGCCTGATTTTTTGTTTCTCGTGAACAAAGAATCATAAGTAAGGTTCTCTTGTTACATTAATAGTGATAACTTTTTTTATCCCTTCGATGGGATAGGAGATCAATTTCAATATAACTAGTATCAAAGAAGTGGTGGACTTGTGTTATAATATATATCAATACGGAAGCCAATATGACGAATTTGAGAGAGAAAGAAAATAACATATGTGTGCGTTGAGTGTATTAATTTTACACAAAAAGAAGGTGCCACGGTTGAAGAGACTATTGGGGTGTAAAGGAAGAAAAATTGAGGCAGGCGACTTTAGAAGAAAGGTATATACCTATGTGCAGCGAACATGAAATTTTTAATATTGTGTAAGAAGTTGAAGAACTAGAAAAACCTTATAATTGATGTTTTGATTAGTGAAGTGATTCTCCTTTTCTTATGATCGTCGACGAAATTTTATTTGGTGCTTTTTCAATCATGTTTTTCTCATTTTGTTTTCAATTAGTTAGAGTTGAACGTGCATTATACATTATTTTGAAACACTTTATTAGTTACGGGAAAGTCATTTGATATGAATTTGTTAGAAGGATCTAATGAGTCTCAAACGAACTAAAGAAAATAAAATTTAGGATAGAAATTCAAAGAAAAAATTGTACTATCAAAACTCAACTTTTATGATTCAAATTTTTTTGTGATGATGAAATACTATAAATGATCAATCTTTTTATACTAAATTTGGTGCATAAGAATTAATTACTAATGCATGAATTTAAACACTCATTAAAATTCCTAAATACATGAACATAAATAAATTCATCGATAATAACTCAAAATTCATATAGATCAAGATTTATCAAGTCAAGATTCATTGAATTTAGATTAATGTAAATATCAATTAATTGAGAATCAATAACATGAAATTCATTTGTGACAATGATTTTGTAATATTTATTACATATTGAAAAATGAAAAGTAATGTATTATTGAAAAAATTAAAAATAAAAAAATTCAACACTTTTTATGTTTAGTTTATAAAAATAAAAAATAGTTCAACCAATAAAATTGAAAATTCAGACTCAAAAGGGAAAGGACTTGTGTTGAGAATATGAAAAACACGAGCCAAACAATTGTCTTCACTCTTGCAACATTAGAGAAACAAGAGAAGTGGAGCGCTTCTTCAAACTACCAAGGAACGTTGAGATTGTTAATGACATAGCTAATAGATTCCACAATTATCTGCGTAACATCCTCAAAGATTCAACTTAATTTTTCATAAAGAGATATCGTACTCTCCAACTCATAAAAAATATCGAAAATTTTTTTCAAAGAGAGAGGAGGGAAGACGTGCTATAACGACAAAACGATTAGCTAAAGCTAGGGATGGCAATGGGTCGAGTCGAGAGCTCGGCTCGACCCACGAGCTCATGAGCTCACGAGCCACAAGTTCGTGGGCCGAG